AAACAAGATAAAATGGTACCTACCATTAGACTCTTTGAACTGGAATCTGCTGTCAATGAAGCCTGAAATCAAATCAAACAACACTCTAGAAAATGATAACTTTTATACATGTTTACATGATATGGTAAATGGCCTTATACAGAGCAGACCAGAGAGTTGATCTGTGATTGATATCGGTCGCAACTATGTACATAAGAGATCGAAGACTGCAAACTTGCAATTGATTTGGATCAATCGCAACTCTTTGTAAGACAGGACCCTGAGTTAATCATTTAACAATACCTTCTCAACATAAAATTGGAGATAAATATCAAATGTAGATTCATGAATATAATTTTGTTCTCTATGTAGTTTTGAAGGATGCATGCAAAGTTTTGTGATGATCAGTCACTTCGCAGCAGAGTTCTTGGGGGTATGATGGGCTTGATTCATCCCCAACCCCCTTAAAAACATTTTATACTTCAGCTTAGTATTTAATATATTAGCAAGAAAGTACCCAGTACATCTATTTGATAAAAACATGTATTTCAACAAAATTACCTCCATAATGTAAAATTGGAAAGTATAAAATATCTACTTACAAGCTTTTGTGGATCCTGACCAAGCATAGCCTCAAGTCCATTCAGCCTCTGCTCCAACTCGGCTCCCTGTGAAATCAGACACAAAAATAATAATAATAAACATGGTGCTTACAAAGCGCTTACCACCAAAGTCTCTAAGCGCTATAACGAACAAAACACAATGATAAACAAATACATATTAAACAAAACAAAAAATTACAAATAAACCTACAAATTACAATACATATGAAATATACATCAATGTAAACAGAGTAAGTTAATCATCAAAACGCAAAGATATGATCAGAACTCTCTGCCTGATGGACATTCGGCAGTAATGTTTGCACACACCTTAACTGCACAGGGCCAGCTGATCATGTATTTACTATGCACAATACCAGGAAAATCTCTAGGCATCGTGCATGGTGAATACATAACCAGTTGGCCCTGCACAGCTGAGATGCACAAGGACGATACTGCGTTACCACAGTTAAATCTGAATTAAGAGAGGCGCAGCCCTGAAGGAATTTTGCCACTCCGGTGCCTGAGGCTCTACAGATTTAGTTGGTGTCTCAAACAAACCTGATGATGTTCATGAAACTAGATTTGTTGTTGTTGTTGTTGTAGTTGGGGGGGGGGGGGAGGAGAGGAGGGGAGGTAACATTTCTAGTATAGGCATATATTCAAGTCTTTATTTTGAAGATAAATTTACTACTATCAAATTTGTCAGGGATAAACCTACCTTTGACACTTGAGTGAACTTGTTTTGTTCTGGTCTGTAGTAGAGTTCGTAGGTCACATGGCCGTCTTTGGTCTCCTGAGTTCCCTTCTTGGGAGGGGTCGAAGGTTGGCCGGCTTCTTTCTTGAAAGCATCCAGCTGATTGAAGAGTTTCCTGTTAAATGAAAATAAAATTAGCAAATGTCATTCTTCAATAACTGTAACTTTGCTATATATCTCATATCTTTCTCTCTATGAGGAGGCGTGATAACTTAGTCGGTAGAGCAGTGGTCTCGTAATCCGGTAACCAGAGTTTGAAACCAAGTCGATGCGCTAGTGCCCTTTGGTAAGGCATTAATCCTTATTACCAGGTCCCTGGGAGAGGACCTAAAGCCGTCGGCCGTCTGGTTGCTTACTTACAAGCATTTATGCTTTCTTAGCAGTCAGGTAAAATAACCATCAGGTCACATCACAATTTGTCTATATCTTTCACAACTTTTCATTTTCTAAATATGGTACTGTTAGTGATGGTACATATTTATGGGCACACCTTTTTCAGACAAGACAATCCTGTAAATATTGTAATCACAATGTTTTTCTGAAGAAGTTTAGACCAAGTTCTCATGGCTTGTGTGCATTGGGCCTCTGTTTATATCTTACAATTCGTTGATATGGAATAAAGATTAGAAGATCCATGTGTAGTGGGTCCTTGTTAAGTTTAAGCACTAATGTATTCATTGATCACTGGTTATTTTGTATACTTGCTTTCAGGAAAGAAATAAATGAACATACTTTGGAAGTGAGCCCTGAGGATCAGCAGCTTCTATTACAGACTCATTCCCCAGGATTTTCTCCAGATGAAGTCCATAGAGCTGTTGCTGTAGTACGCTGATATCTTGCATCAAAGTGGCTGGTGATACCCCTACACCTGAAGACTCTTCCTTGGCAGTTTTCTGTGGATGTGATTTTCAAACCAAACAATATTATTATCTCCGACATGAAACTTTCTACAATTCACTAGAAGGTGACATTTCAATATATTTTTGATAATACAAAAACAGCGCGTTTGTGTTATTAATTATTCCCTGCTTATAGTCATTGGATCTCAAGATCTGCCCATGGTTGAATATCAAGGACACATGTACTAACAAATTTTATGAAACATATACTCTACACATAACCAATACAACAGGAGAAAATCTGCACATCTCATACAATCTTGCCACCTGTAGACAAAGACTTCTTTAAGAACAGTGTCTAGTGGCTACAAACAATGTGGTGGCTGTCACTATGAAAAAGCCTTGCATAACATTTAAAATATACATGTCGATTTGGGATATGTATAGACAAAAACTCTCTTCATCAGATTCACAGCATATTTGGCATGTGTAGATGTCAACCTGACCTCCAAAGAATCTTCTTCTCCCCCCCCCCCCCCCCCCCTCCTTCAAAAAAAAAGTCCTCTTTAATGTCCAAATAAAATAGGGTTAACAAAGTTTGAAAGGATCTGAAAGGAAAAGAAATATGAGGTGAGAAATAGAGATGGTTTGACTTAGGGTTGCATAGCTGAAGATAGAGAAATACAGAGAATGTAAAAGAAAAGAAGAAGTGAATCAAACAAGGAAGAAAAGATAAACACATATTAAAAATTAAAAGAGTATCGTAATGTCCAGAAAATACTGACCTGTAGTTTGTCTACCTCCTGTCCTAGGTCTCTGATCTCATGTTGTAATCTCTGAAATCTCTGAACTGGAGTTTCCTTGTCCTGATAGCCATCTTCTAACTAAAACAGAAAAAACAAGAGAAGAAAGACAAACTTGAAGTCAACGTATTGTAAGACAGATAAATAAAAGACTAATCTCATCTCGAGGGTTGCGGCAATAGTATGTGCCATGCTTGATCAACACTTATTTTTTTGCAAAGGGGTCATTTTAAGAAAAATGTAAAAGTGATGTTTTTAAAGGAATAATTAATCAAATTTAGGGTTATTTTTCCCTGCATTCATTTTTGCTAAGCCCTTCTAAAGTTGTTGCACTGCCTGTAAATAATAAATTCCCAACTCATTCCTACACTAAATCTATTGATAAATCTCCGTCTTGTTGCTACAATGTAACATTTTTTTGCCTTTCTCTCTTTCTCTTTCAATCTTCTTCCTCTCCTCCTTTGAGAGGTACAAGTCAAATACATTCATCAAACTAATTTTCAAAAGGTACTGGAAATAAAGTATGGGAAGAGGGAGAAAAACAATGTGAGAAAAGCAGAAACATGCTTATCACATGTTTAGGGGTAATGAACGGTACTTACGATTTCATATTCCTTCTTAGGGGCAACATACCCAGTACGCCTTGCCTGGCTGATTCGATCTGAAAAATCTAAAGAGAAAAGGGACATAAACTTCATATATAGTCTACTTTTTGAATATTTGGTGAAAAGATTTTTAGAGTCTGTAAAAAAAACTCTGTAATGTCTGTATATATTACCAGAACTTATATCTTATATAATAAATTTTAAAAGCCATAGTCAGGACTACTATATGTAGCTCAATTTCTGTTGTTTCTTCATTCCATTCTTGGCTATTGTACATTTGGTACTTTAAGCCTCTCTAAAGTGTTAGGAGCCCAAAAATATGATGGCGAAAATTCACTTTAATTGTATAATGAAGTGATTTAACAATGACTTCTGCAAGGATTTTCAGAATAAATGTGTTTCAAGATGAATATTGATGAAAGAATAAAAAATGTAGCCTCTTTGCGTACTACACAATACCCAAATATTTGTTGCGAATTTGGGGCTCCCAACTCTTAAGAGGGGCTTTAACATCACTTATCTGTAGTATGAGAATCATTTTTCATTGTTACCTAAAATCATATCAACTATACCAAATATTTGTTGCGAATTTGGGGCTCCCAACTCTTAAGAGGGGCTTTAACATCACTTATCTGTAGTATGAGAATCATTTTTCATTGTTACCTAAAATCATATCAACTAGATGATTTCTTTTAACTGGAACAATTTGTTCATTTTTTATTATTATTTCTACTTACCAACTTGTCCTGAAAGAAGCATCTTGTCCTGGAATTTGTTGAATGCTTCTTTAGTATTGATGGACAGCTTCTCAACAGATTCACTGCTCAGTTCCGCCTGCAAGAGATGAGAATGCAATAAAACAAAGAAAAGTTCTAAGTTAAAGGCATCGTTTAACAATGTTGAATCTGAGATGCATGGCCCTACGTGTTATCAGTGTCTGTGATATGGTGTAATATTGAAGCCCTTCAAAATTGCGCTTCAAAACGATCATGAAGTACCTCAAAAGAGTAAAAATCTTTGAGCGACCAGTTTTACCATACTAATTTTTCCCAATAAACTGTAGTGTTATAACAACCGTTAGAAAAACAAATAAATGAAATTTCTATTTCAACTCATAAATATCTTGATAATCAGACAGGCAATCGGCTTGTAAGTCATGGGATTCCTGACTGGCCTAAAGGTTTATAATTACGATTGCAGCATGAGCTAAATCCAGGATTTTGTTTCAGAATCTGAGGCAATGTTACAGAGTCACTTTAATGCACCCCTGTGAATAATGACATCTGTGACAATAAGTAGGTGGATACATTAGTGGCAAATTTCAACTAGGAAAGTATGACCAATCAGGTTGTTACAAATACAATTTACTCTATAAGCTTCTCCACTCTCCTTCATAAAAACACAGGCTTTATAAAACAATATTTTATCAAAATAGGAATGTATTCATGAACATGGAAAATATTCAACAAGGGCTCGACACAAATAGAAGTTTGGTACCCATGGATCTCCAAAACTATATAATCATATTCCGAAGGGCAAGGATGGGGGAAAAAAATTATGGGAGTTTGTGTGGAGCCTGGTGTGGAGCCTGGTTTGAAGTTGTTGGTTTTAAAAAGAAACATTCAGGCTCAATCAAATGGGTATTGATGATTTTCAACAAACACCTGTTTCACTCTCTCTGGTTTCTTGTTTGTGTGATTATTACAAATGTTACCATACCAATAGGACAATGAATAAAATTGAGTTGAATCAAAAATGGTTTATTTCAATGGGCATAGACTACTTCAATAGGAGGCGCGATAGCTCAGTTGGTAGAGCAGTGGTCTCGTAATCAGGTGACCCGGGTTCGAAACCAAGTCGATGTGCTAGTGCCCTTTGGTAAGGCATCTCTAGGAGAGGACCTAAAGTCGTCGGCCGTCTGTTTGCTTACTAACAAGCATTTATGCTTTTTTTTAGCAGTCAAGTAGAATAACCACCACCATCTCCCACCATACTATCCTTTTTGTTTATTATTATAGAGCAGTGATTCCATTCCACTGTCAAAGTTCATTCCTGGAAGCGCACTTACCAATTCGCGTTGCTGATCATCTTCTGCCAAGTCATTCGTCTCATAAACATCAGGCTGGGTGTCCTGAAAATTGTAAAAACATGTAGATCCATCAGTTTTGATTTCAAATGAGACACACTTGTTAAATTGTAAGGTATTTGTAAATTCAAATTTTCTTGAAAGCAGGGAGTTCATGTAGGTCTACAAATAAATAAGCATAGGGTTTCCGCACTTCCTCAGTCTCAGAAAATAACTCCCATCAATTCATCAGATCATCACTCTTCATTTTCAGTCATTCAAAAAAATCTAATGAGTAAAAATCCTATCGAAAACAATATCGTTAGTGACGTTCGTTTGTCTCGCAATGTATGGTCAACAAGGGATCTAAAAGATCACAACGTTTCGTGCGCCGCTCCAACACTTTGTCAGGTGATAAAATATATTGTAAGGAAGCATGTTTTATACTCTACGGGTGGACCATTTAGTAAAAAATCCTTGTTCACAACATTTGTCAAATCAGCATTTTTTTTTTACAGATTAGGGTCTAGATCTAGATCTAGATCTAGATTAGACCGAATTTTCCGTCTCTTTCGTTCGTTAGCCTCTTATTGGGGTAGGGTCGGCCGGCTCTCTCTTTAGAGACGGAAACCGTCTATACACATTCCCTTGATAACGCCACGGCCATTTCAGGTCGTAGCGTTTTGCCCCCAAAATCCCCCAAAATGTCATTTTACCTCGTGCATGTTATATTGTAAATTAGGCCTAGGTCTAGGCTATAATAAATCAGTTCCACTTACCAACTTGACTGAAATAATCAGTTTAATAGTCCCTTTTTAGGAATTTATGGGTCAAAATCGAAATCCATGTTGAAAAAGATTTTCAAAATGGATTTCGATTTTGACCCATAATTTCCTAAAAAGGGACTATTAAACTGATTATTTCAGTCAAGTTGTTAAGTGGAACCGATGTATTATAGCCTAGGCCTAATTTACATGTGGATATGCACGAGGTAAAATGACATTTTGGGGGATTTTGGGGGCAAAACGCTACGACCTGAAATGGCCGTGGCGTTATCAAGGGAATGTGTATAGACGGTTTCCGTCTCTAAAGAGAGAGCCGACCCTACCCCAATAAGAGGCTAACGAACGAAAGAGACGGAAAATTCGGTCTAGATCTAGATCTACAGTTACACTGTAATTAATTGCCCCGCCATATCGACATTATAATAATGGATCACTGTATAATGACTAAACTGTGAAGCCGAGTGAGCATAAATGGCTCATTAATAATGTTATTTTCCGGATAGATCTACACGTACACAATCCCCCAAAATAGGCGTGCCCCGTGCCGGAGGTGGAGCTGATCCAGCGAGCTCAGGATCATAACGCCCCCGTCCGTAGCGGTGTGGTTAATCCAGTCGTACCGTACAGACTGCAGTCCTCAGGGATAATGGTCACATATGAAACAAGATCGAAGTGAAAATATGTTCATTCTTTCAACCTTAGTGTACAATTCATACATTATTACAGACGTACAATACATATGTATGTGACAAGATAAAATTATGTGCCTAAAACTACAAGAAAATTCGGCAAACATGGTAAATACTCACGATTCCAGGAAGGTTTGCGTACTTCGGGTCCGCCATTTTTATTTAGCTCTAGAATCTATGTTAATAAATGCGCGCGCGCTTGCTGATTCATTTGCATTGTACCAAAATTGATAGCGCGCGCTGTAGTATCTTTCTTCTTTTTCGTGCTGCTCCTCCACAACCACTTCCAAAAGTAGCATCATAGCATTTACCCCCCCCCCCCCCCCCCTAGTTTGGGATAGTTTTTCTTTACAATACATTTTTTAAATGCCTGTATTTAACACCCACTTGAAGAGAGGTCCACCCCAAACAAAAAATGAATTGACCTATGACCATGGGTGTCGATCCCGGGTGGGGGGGGGGGGGGGATGGGGGATATATCCCCCCCCCCCCCCCAATATTTCGGGTGGAGGGGATGGCCTGTACAATCATTCCCCCCCCCCCCAATAATTCACCATAAAAAAATAATAATAAAGAGAAAAATTAATGATAAGCGCCCGATGAGAGTAGTTAATGGTTATTACTCGCAAGATGACCATCAATATACACATTTTGCTATATCATTTGCATAATATAAACATATATACGAAATAAATGAGACAAGCGTATATGGGGGGAAACTGAATTCAAACAAGGACACGATTCAACGAATCGTCTTTCTTCTCTAATAATTTAATGAAACGTAAAAGCTTCCGCGCTTCGCGCGGGATGGGCGAAAATGAATATAGACAAGGATTAAGAGTAATAATTTATTGAACCGTCAAAGTTCCCGCGCTTCGCGCGGTAGCTAGGGGGAAACTGAATTAAGACAAGGACATACAACGAACCGTCTTCTTTCTCTAATAATAAAATAAATGTGAAAGCTTCCGCGCTCCGTGCAGGAAGGGGCGAAAATGAATTCAGACAAGGATTAAGAGTAATAATTTATTGAACCGTCAAGGCTTCCGCGCTTCGCGCGGATGGGGGGGGGGGGCCGGAGCTGAATTCAGACAAGGACACGATACAACGAATTGTCTTCTTTTTCTAATAATTTAAGGCAACGTCAAAGCTTCCATGCTATGCACGGAGGAAGGGGAACTTGTTTTAAACATTAAGGATTAAGAGTCGAGAATGGTACATCGCATTGTCTTCTTTCTTTGATAATCTAATGCAACGTCGAAGCTTCCATGCTATGCGCGGAGGAAGGGGAACTTGGTTTAAACATTAAGGATTAAGAGTCGAGAATGGTACATCGCATCGTCTTCTTTCTTTGATAATCTAATGAAACGTCAGAGCTTCCATGCTATGCGCGGAGGAAGGGGAACTTGGTTTAAATATTAAGGATTAAGAGTCGAGAATGGTACATCGAATTGTCTTCTTTCTCTAATAATTTAATGCAACGTCAAACCTTCCGCGCTTTGCGCGGGAGGGGGGGGGAACTGAATTCAGACAAGAGAATGGTACATCGAATCGTCTTCTTTCTTTAATAATCTTATAAAACGTCAGAGCTTCCGCGCTACGCGCGGAGGAAGGGGAACTTGATACAAACAAGGATTAAGAGTCGAGAACGTTCCAACGAATCGTCTTCTTTCTATAATAATTCAATGAAACGTCAAAGCTTCCACGCTTCGCGGGGGAGGGGGAAACTCCTCCCTCCCTGCATCCAACCCCCTATAGGGAGCGCACTTCGCGTGCTCACTACCCCCTCCACCCCAACAAAAATTAAAAAAAATAATAATAATGAAATCCTGGCTACGCGCTTGGGGATGGGGTGCAACCTGCCACATGCTTCTACCTCTTGGTTGCTTTGATCCATTGCCGAATATATTTTGGCACCTATCATCCCCCCAACCACGGATGCAAATCGACACCCTTGCCTATGACGTTTGCTAAAAATCGTGAACAAAATTGGAAATTGTCTAAACATCTAAAACGCCAAAAAAAAAAATCCTATGAACGGACAAGAGCATCAAAAATCTTAAAATCTACGGTCGGCTTTATATTAGAGTGGGTTTAAAAAAAAAAAAAAAAACTTTAAAAATATTTAAAAAACGTTTAATGAATAAAAAAATATATATATATTTAAAGCATTCAAAACTAAAAAATATCAGCCAAATTCCAAAGAGGGGAAAAAAAGAGGGGAACAAAAATCGTCCGACCGATCCAGGTGTTGGCAAATAAAAAAGGGCGATAATACAACACCTTGTTGTTTAGGCCTTAAAGAAGTTGAGATACAGAAGGGGACACACACAACATTTCGGTAATCTGTATTGAGATAAACATAATTCCTCCAGGAATTGTATTTTTAGTTTCGTTTTCCACTTTGATAACAATATTAGGCCTAATTGCAATGATGAAACTTTTATTTTGCTAATTTAAAGTTTCACCATAAGGGAAAGTTAATGGAGCCCCATCCCCCTCCAATCTATTGCAGAATTTTCTTGCAAATCAATACTCCGAAATTCGTGATAAAGATATATCATCCTTTTCTTTATCGTGTTGTTTATCTCTCATATTCATGCATGTCCAGCAATATTACCATGCTGATGATATTTGTTTTAATTTCATTCGGATTATTTATAGAGCCGGGAAGTTCCTCGAGATGATTTTTCTTAAAGCCCCTTTAAAGTTTGGGAATTCGCTAAAAACTTTGATGGAATAATTTATTGATGTGAAAGAGGATGACTGTCATATAACATTTAACTCTGCAAGGATTTTCAAAACAAATGCGTTTGAAGACGAATATTTATGAGAGAATACAAAACTTGGTTTTTTTTTCAAATTTTCAAATTTCGAGACCAAAAAAAAAAAAAAAAAGTGTCTGCTTACCCCCCCCCCCCCCCCCCCACTGAGCGACTTTTCGGTTGGCTGAGTCGTTGCGATCGCAACGACTCAGTCAACCGAAAAGTCGCTCAGTTGGGGGGGGGGGGGGTCTTTTATTTTGAAAATTTGGAGAAAAAAATTCGTTGGGGAGGGGAGTAAGGTCACTTTACGTTAGCCGTGGGCATAATTTTTTTTTTTTTTTTAATTTAAAAAAAACAACAAAGGGGGGGGGGGTTTAGTTTTTTTTAGGGGGGTTTACACACATAAAAATACCAAAGGGGGGGGGTTTAACCCCCAACCCCCCCCCCCCTGCGTACGCCCCTGTCAGGGCCTGCAGAACGGCTGGGTCGGGGGCTCGAGCCCCCATCACTTTTTGAAGAAATAAAAATGTTACAGAGTAAAGAAAGAAAGAGAGAGAAAAAATGAGTGACCTGCCAATGTCACAAATGAGATATCAAAATATGCTCATCTGACCGTAATTAAATGCCTAAAACCAAAACCCACGAGCTTCCGGAAGCCCCCTGGACCCCACCAAGGGCCCTAAGGCGGCCCCTGGATGCTTATCTGACCGTAGTTTTTTAAAAAAAGGGAAGGAAAAAAAGGGGAAGAAAAGAAGAGAAAAAAAACGAGAAGAGAAAAGAAAGGAGAAGAGAAAAGAAAGAAGATAAAAGAAAGAAGAGAAAAGAAAGAAGAGAAAAGAAAGAAGAGAAAAGAAAGAAGAGAAAAGAAACAGAGAGAGAGAGAGAGAGAGAGAGATAGAAAAGAAAGCCCAATAACACAAAATTATGATATGACACTCCGCCCACGCTCCCGGTCGTGATTTAACCATGGTTGGTGTAATAATTTTTTTCTTTTTCATTTCTACTAACATAATATTATTGTGTGCTATCACAATCATGATTGTTTCATTTTCCCTTTAAAGCAGGCGCGTAGCCAGAGTCGAGAGTGGAACAACGAATCGTCTTCTTTCTCTAATAATTTCATTAAATTAGGAAAGGTCAAAGCTTTATTACGCGCTTTGCGCATGCAGGGGGGGGGGGGGGGGGGAACTGAATTCAGACAAGGATTAATAGTCGAGAATGGTACAACAAATCCTCTTTTTTTCTCTAATAATTAATAAAAGGTCAAAGCTTCCGCGCGTAATGGAGGAGGGGGGGGGGGGGGGGGGACAGCGAGCTGCCCGAATATGAATTTTTGAGATCTTTTCTCGTTTATCTTGGTGCTAAAAACGGGGAATGTCGGATATCGGACAAGAGACGTGACGTGAGCCTGCCCCCCTTTCCAATATTGTGCCTGCTTGTAGGTACCGGTATGGTGCTTCTAATATGACCTTGCCAGTATTGGTATGTTGAGTTGAAAAAACTTCCGCCCCCCCCCCCACCCCTATTGGAAAATCCTGGATCCGCGCCTGGAATGTATCCCCCCTCAATCCCAAACTGCCTGCCCCGTCTCCATTGTGCAGCGAGAAAAAAAAGGAGAAAATGACACCTCACAGACCTTCTCGTTTCTTAATCTTTATAACAAGACTGTTGCTTCTGCAGTAAAAGGGGCTTTAAAAAAAAAAAGTTTTCTGACAATATTACCTGGCACCATATGCAAATTCGGCCTATCCCTATTTCTTGGAGATTTCGAGCAGTTGATTGAAAAATTAAGCAGTCATATTTGATTGTATTAACAGTGAATAATTCCCAAATTGATTTGTTTCAATAAATATAAATAAAGGCTTGAAAACGATGATAACAAGAGAATTAGGGATCACTGGAAGGGCGAGTATGGGTGCCATGAATTGGTGGTAGGGGTATGATTTCATAGCGCAGCTTTTAGAATTTCAGGTTTCGCGTACAGCGCGCGCACTCTCGACACGATTTATTGGAGAAGGGAGGGTCACCTACCCGAACATTCAGGACATATTTTTGCAGGTATTTGGCAAATTCCTTGCGTTGTAAATATATAAAATATCTAAATTTATATATTTAGAAGTCACCGGCTCAACCTAGGACATATGTGGACCAATTAGGAGTGGTATTGTGACTGGATTCTTCATTAAATCGTGATTATACTGTTGGTTCTCTGTGTTACGTGCTGTGTCAGTGAAGTGTGCATTCCCGGCGCCTCATATACCGTACCGGTACACCCCGGCCTCCTCCCGTGCCCGTCAGCACTGCACTGCATGCATCTCATTATCTCTTGGGCACGTACGACATGGCAACAGCGATCATGAAGTGACACGAGCAAAACATCGTCTTATTCTCACCATATCGTTAGGAGGAATTTCAATATTTGAACATTTTATTTTGTAAGAG